TAAGTTACTTTTAGAGCAAGGTTTCCATTTTTCTTACCTTTTAACATTTTTCAGTGGCAAATGTGCTTGGTATCACACCATACTTTATTTGAAGTGCTGGTGGATGTATGTGGCTGTGACATTTTGTAAAATTCATATTTTAAACGCTATTGGTAAACAATTGGACAATTGGCTTGGTAGTAGTAAATTTGCGTTCTGGCGAAAGATAAATACTAAGAAAAACGAGGATAAAGAAGACAATGGTAATTGGATTCATGGCGGACTAGAAACTAATATCGCATTGCCCAGCACTGGTGAGGAAGCCATGAAAAGATTATTAGCATGCAAAGGAAAGGATCCTTACAGCATACTCGGTGTTACACCTACATGCTCGGATGATGATATTAAAAAATATTACAAGAGGCAAGCCTTCCTAGTGCATCCGGATAAAAATCATCAGCCAGGGGCAGAAGAAGCATTCAAAATATTGGTACATGCCTTCGATATCATTGGGGAACCGGTAATAAAGCATCCATTTCTCATATTTTTTTCATAACAACGATAATGAAAATTAGCAATATCAGCTTTTGGCTTATAAGATCACTGTGCATATACATTTATTAACGTTGCGTATTATTTTAGGAACGTAGGCAAGCGTTTGATCAGACTAGACAAGTCGAAGCGGCCTGGGGCGAGCTAAGCGACTTGCTATCTCAACTTCATCGAAAGATGGAACAGGCAGCAAATACAATAAGATGTACAAATTGTGGCTTGAGACACAAACGTATTCCTACGCAACGTCCTTGTTATGCCGCGCGATTTTGCAATCAATGCAAAATACGTCACAGTGCGAAAGAAGTGAGTACTGCGTTTATCTTATACATTTATCAACTGTTCCTTTTCTTAAAATTAATTGTTTAAACTGTCCGTACAGGGTGATATATGGGCAGAGTCTCGTTTAATGGGTTTCCTATGGCACTATTACGCGTGCATGGAAGGAGCTGTGTACGATGTAACTGACTGGGCAGCTTGCCAAGCTGGGAATCTCAAACATCTTAGAGCGAATACGCATAGTGTCCAATATAGAATCGTCTTAGGACAAAGATTACCGTCTCAAACACCCAATAGCGGTAAAAAGCGGCAACAGATAGATCCTAATACAAGGTACATTTTACACGACTGACTTTTATCATTATAGTTCTTCTTAAACTTAAGTATCGATTCAATTCTGAGAAGCTCTTAGGCCGATATTCATAGTCAGATCTTATATTCAAGATCATCTTAAGTACGATCTTAAGAAGTCTCGAACCAATTAGAGGGCTGCATTAGCGTCTTAAGACATTACTTAAGATGGTCTTGAAATAAGAATCGACTATGAATACCGGCCTTAGACTCTTCTTTGAACATGTATATTTAAAATTGATGTAAAGTATGCATATACAGGGTGTATTATTTTAATTGACGCATTAAAATATTTCTTGAACAGTGCATTTTATAGAAAAATGTTTCAGACAAAAGTTATATGGAGGACATAAGATGGTGCTATTGGTTTGACCTTGGAAAGTTGTTTGAAAGTCACGTAAAGGTCGAGTTATATGGTTTCAAAGATATAGTACCGCTGGCATTAGCATTACCCAAGGTGTCCAATCGACGGTTAAAACCTCTTGAATGTTCAGAATTATGACTTTGATAACATTTGTCAAGATCAAGGCCATTGGAGGTTGTTCTTATTTTCATTTTTATGTAGAAATGTAATTTTTGTGCACACACAAAAATGAAAATATATAATTATAACTCGAAAAGTACTTGATGAAAAATAATTTCATAGTGTTTTGGAAAACTCGAGACAAGCTATAAGAATATGTAGTACATGGGATTCCATTTAAGAAATTGATGATCTTTACGTAACCTTCAAACAATTCTCCAACGTCAAACTAATAACACCATCTTATGTCCCCCTCGAAACCATATAACTTTTGTCTGAAACATTTTTCTCTAAAATGCACTGTTCGGAATATTTTAATGCGTCAATTAAAATGATACACTATATGTGCGCGCACGCGTCTGTGTGTGTGTGTATTTATATATATCTCTTTTTATGAAACAGCGAAGCGGATTTCGAGGATTTCCTAAACAATCTCTATAACCATAGTAAATCTGCTGGCGTTAATACATCGGGGGATCAAAATTCTTTCAGAAGTGATAGCAGACGACGCAAAACTAAGCGTAAGAAGTAGATAAATAGCAGTAGATGAACAATTGCTAAGCGTTTGACGTCGTTGTATAATTATAAAGTGCGTATTACATTAGAACGCATATTATACGCAATCTTAAATTTATATTATCCTTAAATAATTAACCTTAGCATATAGATGTTATAAATATTCATAAAACGTTAATATCTGTGACTGATACACAATATGAGATTATGAGAAACTGTGTTCACGATGAACGTACATGTACTACAAAACATCATATCGAGTAGACTCACATGTTAAAAAGAAAAAAAAACTCGAGAATGATAGGAGAGCATCACAATAGTAATTATTCAAAACAACAGATACATTAAACGAAAACATTCAGTACGATATTTTGTAGATTTAAAATAACAAAACAATGTTGATTGTCTCCAAGATAATACATAGAGATGCCAAATAACGATCATAGAAACAAAGTATTGTATGCGTCGCAAAGCTAGATTTGAACATAAAAATTTTTATATACGCATTTAGACAATTTGTATGATGTAACCTTGTGTTCTTCCAGAAAAAATAACGATATCAGATTACATATTATAAACCAACAAGTTTTACTTTATTTTGTTTTTTTTATCTTTTATAATATTAACTTCATCATCGAAATAAGTCGTGATTTCTGAAGAATTATATCTAGTAAATGCAAAAAGTATTTGTACAAGGGAGACAACGATGAAAAAAAACTTATGTTTAGAAAATTAACACACTAATTAGCAATTTAATAACAAAGAATGAAACAGATTGTATACATTCATTGTATGTTTCTCAAAATTATTTTACCTAAAAAGATGTAAAAAAGATATGTTAATAAAATAAGAAAAAAAATGACAAATTGTACTGTTAAAACGCACAAACAGTATTCGTACAGTCGAGAAATTTTCCTTCTAACGTTATGATTATTTTCACAGAATTGTCTACTTATATTAGGACAGAATGTATTTATTATTAATAAATTACAATAAATAATAGTCTTTCAACAAATAAGATTCTTTAAAAATCTTCCCTGTACAAATACTCTTTGCATTTACTGTATATATGCCATTTATAATTTAAATCCTGAATTGGCAAATGTAAAGAAGACTGATTTTCTCTATTTTTGTTACTTATGTAAGTTATACATATATTTATATACATATATATGTATATATATAATATATATGTATATATATAAATATTAGTTAGGAAAACATTTCTAACGATATACTCTGCTATACGTGCAAATAGTTTGATTTCTTCAAATGATCCTAGCATCCTAATTCTTATTCTCTTAAAATATTTATATATACATGTATTGTATACTTCGTGTACGTATACATAAAACTATACTATACTAAATATATATATATATATATATATTTACACATACATATGTTATATATATATAGAAATATATATATGTATACACAGGATGAGTTTCAAACGTAAAATACGGAAAAACGTTTTAAATAAAAGTTATAACTTGATGAGGCGCAAATAATGGTAAAATTAATTTTAAAAAATCACTTTCGAGAACATAAAAGTGTTATCGTCACTTTAAAAATAGAATTTTTACATAATACGATTTCTATAACTATTCTGCATACAAAAAAATTAAAACTGTCGAAAAGTGAATAGTTTTTGAGTTATTTTATGCTTTAGCCATATATTGACATGAAATATTAAATGCTTTGTAAACTATTAATTATTTTAATAATCGTACCTTAATACTTTTACGCATAATGGAATGAATCAATTAGTGTAAAGACACACATAGTTGCTTATTAAAAAAATTTTACATTTTGCAACACACAACTGCATACTTACTATCCTATTGCGTTTGAAATTTTTCATCCTGTATACACACACACACATAAAACTCTAGAAAGGAAGATAAAAATATGATATTATATACATATGTGTGTACATATGTATGCAATATTACATTGTAGAAGCTGCAATTAGCTGCAGCGCATAGAAAGATATAGAATTCGTTAAGAACATTAGGAACAGTGTGGATTGCAAAGATTTTATTCTGACAAATGCTTTATAAATAGTTCAGTAAAGATAGAATGATAAAAAAAGCAATGAACATTGCTCATTTCATGAACTATCACATTGTGTATGTATACATCAATATACAGAACATTCTTATTTCATTTATGGAGACTGAATAAAATTCTCATTCTGAATTTATTTCAAGTTTCTACATCCGTTTTAACGATATACACGCAAACAATAAAAATCATTCATTTCCATCTTGCGTTTATTTTCATTCCGCATAGTCAAGTAGCGAAATGTAAAATAATAGAGCAATATAGGAGGAATTAATTCAAAAGATTAATTCGATTAGGAAAGAAAAACGAAGATATTCACAATACAATATAATTGTTTGTCCGCAAATACTTTTATGAGTTTTAACATATAAGTAATTTACTATATACTTTTCCTTTCGTGAAGCGTCAAATAAACACTTCACATACATGAAACAATCTGTTGTGTACCAATGAAAAATATAATAAATGAATTTAAAACTGAAATGCAAACTTTTTTATACAGTACGTTTAGTAAAGCTTTCAGAACGCGAAACTTGTTTATATAGTAAATGATATAAAAGATATTCAATAAGGAACAACTAATTTTGTTGGCAGATGAAAGAGACACTCACAAACATTTTCCTAGTTATTACATGGATAAATTATTGTATTCAAATATTCTTATTTATACAATATCAAAAATATATACATTATAACAAATAATTTCAACAAGCAACAGTATTTAATGCTCGCAAATATCACTATTACCTTTACGATCGTAAAAAAAAATTAAAAAATATTAATTTTTTTAGTTCTATAATAACAGATACTAATCGAGCATACCTTCCAAAAATACAAGTGCATCCACATTATCGATGGCATTTTCTATATCACGTTTTTGAACAGTCTTTTTCTTCGCTTGTGCAGTATATCTATAAGCTTCCTTTGCAAGAGATTCAATAAAAAATTCCTAAAAAATAAATGATTATTTGAGCACATTATAAAATGCATCATAGTTAATTATTCGATATTTACCACTGACTTCGCCACCAAAAACGTAGCCTCTTGATTAACTAAACAAACTTCAGGATCCATTTTGATAATGGTTTTTATTCTTCCCAGGGGTAGTCGTATCAATTTTTCTCGCTGCTCTTCATCACCATGCGAGGTGTTGACTTCATCCCGTGAATCTCGCGGATTCTCTTCAACATGGATTTTATCGAGTTGAATTTCTTTGTTTAAACCATCGATTTCCGAGTTATCCATGTTGGATACGTAACGTATGGCTAGTAACTACACACAAAAGCAACGGGTAAAACTAAATAAATATATAAATAACATATTACATTCGCGGATAATTGTTTAATTTGCTACGTTACCTCAAAAATCGAAATTAAACGAACGAATAAATTTGAGAAAAGCGTTGTTGTCAAACGAACCGAGATATTAATCGTTCAAATTAAGAAAAATTCAGGTTAGGAAATGTGTCAAGAAATATAGGTAAATACCACTGAATACCATGAGGTAATAGCACTGAACTATATACGGGAGGATCCCGTTTGCCTACAGTTCTGATTGTACACACCACTCATATCAACTGGTGCCTAGTAATTTTTCAATGTTTTGCCAATGAGATTATTTTATTTTTAAATTGGCCAATCAGCGATACATGTGTGCAATATGCGATGTGTGCAATCGGAGCCCTCCCTAGCAACGGCTCAATTGGACACGAACCACTCACAGCGCTTGAGACTACAAAGCTCCTAAGCACCGGTCGATGTGATTGGTGGTGTCCAATCGAGCCGTGATCAATCACCCCATTTCCATCGGCTGCGTTCAGCAGATTCAGCAGTTTCGCAACCGTTTTATAATTCGTCGCGCTGATTAGATTATACTTTTAGATTTAAAGGAATAGTCCTATCTCAGCGAAGAATCATAAAACGATTGCAAAACTGTTGAGTCTGCTGAACGCAGCCATCGATAGTACATCGATCGATACATGATATAAGGATGATATAAAGACCATTCTACATTGGTCGTATCGTAGCGTCGGAAGCGTCGTAAGCATCATACGACTTTAAAATTGAAGCATCGGATTGGCTGAAGCAACAAGCTTGTGACTTGCGACGTCTACGATACGACCAATGTAGAATGGCCTTAAGGATTACATCATGGATCGATACATCGATCGCAGCGTGCGCGAACGCTTCGTTCAAATATCGTCCCAACTAAAATGGCGGCTGATTAATTGTGGCCACTAATTTTTCTCGATGTCCATTCCAGTATATATATAGTTCATTGGATAATAAGGATATCAAAATCAAGCAGCCGGTCCTCTAAAAAAATGGATTCGAAACACGGTGTCGGTATCCGGCAGTATGGCTGAATAAAGTCACTAGATTTCTAAAGTACTGCAAACTTGCCCCCATCTTGATGCAAAATGGTTATTTTCAAACTTATGTACAGCTGGTCATAGACTACATTTACACGGCACCCTTAAGTCCGGATCTACAATAGGTGTTTTATGCCTTATGCCGTAAGAAACTGACCAATTACAGTCGAATCCGAGAAGAATAAGCGACTGTGATTCGCCCATTTCTTATGGCTTAAGGCTTAAAACCCTATTGTAGATCCGGGGTAATCGAGTTTAATAACATCCGTAGTTATGAAACTGGCCAATCACAATCATTCTATTCTCCCGAGGAAAAGCTGTGATTGGCCAATTTCATAACTACGGATGTTATTAAACCCGATTAAGCGTGCCGTGTAGCAGAGCTCTAGAAAAGTTGCAACTCTTTTTTTCGATGGGTTTCAGAACGCAGCTTGCTCTCCGAGTGATTGGTTCTTACTCATAGATCTATAAATAAGAACTAATCGCTTGGTGAGCAAACTGCATTCCGAATCCTATCGAAAAAAATGTTGCAACCTTTCTGTAACCGGCTGTATATGTATAAACGTAGTTTATTTGGGAAAATAAAGCCGTAAAATATGTAAATCAATTTTTTAATTGTAAATAATTTATTTATAAACCAAAAGAAATGCTATACAAATGCTTAATTTGTGTATGTTTTAGTTTAACATAGGTTTTTTCGTTGTGAAGTATTAGTGCAGAAAAGTGCACGAAAGTATGTATTATTCACATATAGATTTTGAAGCTTACCAAGCATTCATATCAGTTTTCAAGTTTCGAAAAAGCAAGTACAAGCGAACGACCAAGCTAACCGTAAAATGCGCAAGCAGTACATATTCTTACGTGCAAAACAGCGTGTGAATATTATCACACGTGATAATATAATATTAATAATATTATTAATATAATAACATAATAAATATATATTATTATATCATATTATTATTATTATATTATTATTAAAATAAAAAGCTTAGTAATAATTACTCTCAAATTTTAAAAAACATTAACAATACAAGGTAAATGAGAGTGCCGCGGTAATTGGTGCGCAGAATCAATTATAAAACAATGTGTGACAATTTCTTACACATAGATGTATTTAAGAAATTATGTTAAAAATCCGAACGTTTCGGCCAACATTTGGGACCATCCTTAGTGAAATACAAAAGGTTACACACATGGAGATTTCCTTGCAAACTCACATAACAGATCGAGTGACTATTCAGATGTAAATTTAAATCCCTTCAATTTGGTTCCATGCCAATGATGAATTGTAAAAATACAAATCCTGCAGGTAAGAATGCAAGAAAAGCCCGATAGATATCAAAGTAATTGTACATATCCGACTATAAATGTATAATAATTAGATTAAAAAGATGTTATCATTATGAAAGTCAGAATCGTTATATATATTATTATTATTATATTATTATCATTTATATTATTAATATAATAACATTAATAATATTATTAACAGTGTGCGAGTATTATCCAACAGTTTGTATAAAAAGAGGTTGTATATATAGAGTAGGCAAGGCATAGGGACCGACGTATACTTAGCAGATAAGTTTAACATTTCTCATTTTTTTTTATGGTAAAAGTTTGGGAATAGTTTGGGAAAGTTTAGGAAAGGAGTCCGTTTCCCTCTACAGAGTTCAAAAATTTATGTTAAATTCAGCACATTTGTATATTCCACCCAAATTTTTATTAATTACTTATAATTTAGGAAACAATAATTTATTTATAATCAACGAAAATTAATCGAGTGTACAGAGTTAGGAAAAATATTTAACATTTCTTACTTTTTTCTATTGTAAAAGTTTCGGAATAGTTTGAGAAAGATTAGATAAGAAAATTGTCTCATGATTTGGGAAATAATAATTTTATTGTAATTATTAAATAAATTAAATGTAATTATTCAGAATACGGACTGCACCTCTGATTTTCTAAGCGTCCTTCACGCTCAATTTCATTATCAAGCGACATATGTTCATCAAAGATAGCGAACTATGCTCGATGATCGACTGTGTCGTACGAGTCAAACCGCTCGTAGACCCGAACGATGACTTCGAATTCTCGATCGCTGTAAAGAAGATAGTAGAGTATAAACCTTGAAGAAAAAGAATTAAAAAAAATATATTACTCGTTACGTTTCAGAGACGGTGACTGAGATACGTGTAAAAAGAGTGGAAAGGTACGGTATCCTCGATCAGTATGTAAGTGAAAGCAAAAAGTCGAGTGACTTGATCGCTGTAACGAAGACAGTTGAGTAACTTCGGGAAAAAAAAAAGTTAGGTACTCGTCGGCGCGTCGACACGTCGTCTTCCTCCTCCTCCTCGTCGAAGGTTCCTCAATTCCCGATGCACACCGCCGACATTCCGGCTCCGGATTTAAGGATCATCAGATACGTATAGGCTGTCGTCAATTACATCCAAAGGCGCTATCACGGTCTGCCTTTCGATGAGACAAACGCCGTGTAGACGTACGACAAGCACTTCGCGGGCGACATCGCCTACGGACGATCGAAAATCGAACGAGACTACTCCGTCGTGTCCCTCGATAATTTCATGATGGCCTTTTGATGGGAAACCTTCGTCGAATAATTCCGATTCATCGACCGATGAAACAATCGAAACAGAGTCGTCATGATGAGAACGGTAACACTCCATAAACTATGCGTTACCATAGGCCTGTTCTTTTTGGCTGAACTTTTGCACCAGTTCATCTTTTTTCCTCTTCTTTCCTCCTAAAGAGAAAAGGAAGAAAGATGAACTGATGCAAAAGTTCAGTTAAAAAGAACAGGCCTAATGTTTACCGATCCCACGACCAATTTTGCAAAGATCGACCGGCTTTGCGTCTCCGTACCAACTTCAACGTTCCGGTGTTCGAGACGGCACTCGAGAACTTTATCGACGAACACGTCGAAATCGCACTGTTGAAAATTATCAACGCGCGAGCAGATTACTACACGTGGACGATCGTGCGAGATCCCAAACGTCCGATCGAGCGATCTCTTCAATTGTCCAACGTCCAGCGACAATTTCGAGATATACGACGGCGTCTACGCACCCGGAGATCATCGACGAAGAGATCTCATCGAGAAGAGCCATCCGTCGACGAAACACCGGCGACCATCGTACCGACGAGCGAGATCTACATGGGACTCCGGCGACTTCTCGCTACCATCAGAGCCTTGTCCACATCGCGTACTCCGACACCGCTATCATCGTCCAGAAGATAGTCCGCGCAAATACGTGCTTATTCAGTGATTTTTAGAAATTAATATCTCCTAAAGTATTGGGAAAATTGCAAAATGATAAAGGACTTTTCGACCCAGTTCAGTCCGCTCTACCAACTCACAAGACACGATCCCGTAAATCGGGGACACCTAACATTCTACGTTCGATTGTTTTATAAATTTCGGCAGAAATACTCCAAATGACGTCACATATGAATGTCTTTAAATGGATTTCCACCAGAAAAAAAGTTTAATGCCAAGAATGTTTAAATAAAGTTATATATCTCGCTTCGCGTGGAAAATCATATCCCCCTAAGCAGGGGAGGAGGTGGGGTGGATCTCACTTCGCGTGGGAAGTTGCCCCTGAGCAGAGTAACTATTGCATTTTATAATGCGAACAGTAAATTTTTAACTAAACTAACCTTTAACTTTAAACATTTTTGGCATTAAATTTTTTTATCAATAGAAATACATTTAATTTAGCTTAAAAGGAAGCTTTTTACAAAGTTTTTTTAAATTGAAAATGTATCGTTTACAGAACTCCTCTCTAATATATTGCTCTAATATATTGCTGTATCGTTTACAGAACTCCTCTCAATATACTTATAAAATTGATGAAAATTAATCCAGGACACGAAAGACCCATTCTGTGTAGTAAAGGTGTCAAAAACCAACGAGTAAAGTGCAGTAAAGCTTAAGAAAGGTTGCGCATCACTGCTCTATTCTATATATTTTTTGCTTTAATCGGCCGCTTCCCTCTACAGAATTCAAAAATTTATGTTAAATTCAGCACATTTGTATATTCCACCCAAATTTTTATTAATTACTTGGATATGTTAAAAGTTCAACTAAAAAATAATAAAAATCGATTTTAACACAATTAAGTACAAAATGTTTTATACTGTGCAAAGATCTTGCTTTCCTATTTATCATATGCTAACGTGATAGTATATTCATTTCATTAGAACATTAAACATGAAAAACCATACAGCATGCTTGACTGTTTGTCGACTGGTAGTAGACTTTCAAAGTCGACATTTAACCAACTATTAAAATAAGATTAGATGATTAGTTAGATAGTCGGCTTATAGTCGACGTAGAATTGACATAATTGATTACATTGGCTAACTTACAGCTGACTATAATTGGGACGTTTGTCGTTTTTAAGGCTCAAGCCCGTTTCTATCAATGTAGATTAACTTTAATCTCGGTTTAACTAACTCTTCATCTTTTTCCAGTTCTAAGAATTAGAAAAAGACGAAGAGTAAGTTAGGGAGAACACCACTGTAACAGGTTCAAAAAAATCGATTTTTTTTGCATTTTTAGAATGCTTGGAATCTTAAAAATATGTCTCTAAAATATTATGTTGAAATTCATAACGAAACTATAGTAAATATGTGCTGGAGTGCACGTAGTTAGATGCATAAACTAATCCGGTTGTAAAACTTTAAACACGTTTTCCTCGAAACTACGTTTTCGTAACTGGACGCTTACCTCGGCCAATTTTTATCCGAATGATTTGAATTTTGGACAGAATGTTTACAACAAAATTATCTTCAGTTAAGCGTACGAATTTCTCAACCGGATTATTAGTTTTTGAAATATAATAAAAAAAAAGTAACGATTTCGCAAAATCGTGACCTCTTTTTTTAAAACAGCGCCATTTTGTCTAAAATTATTTTATCAAAAAATCAGTACGCTTAACTGAAACTACACTTATATACTTTAAAATAAAAAAAAATTTTTTTTATTTAGAGCTTCTGTTTAGACGAGCGCCCGTGCACCCATGTTTTTCCAGACGAGGTGCACATCAATGAGTACTGAGGCTAGAAATATTAATATTATTTAATGAATGTTTTGTAATAACTACGTAAATGCATGTACTTTGAATATATAAAGATAATATAATTCATATAAGCTATTAGTTTTCACAAAAAAAGTTCACAAAAGCTTTTTTTCGGTTGTCACAGTGATGTTCCCCCTTAAAAGAAGATTAAAGTTAATCTATATTAGTAGAAACGGGTATTAGTCAATTAGAAGTTGACATTCAGTCTAACTCAAGTCGACTTTAAACTCCTTCTGCCGACAGACAGCTGACTAACAGCTTGGTACTGTCTGGGAACTGAGAAGCAATATTAGATTAGAAGAAATGTATTGGACCTCCAATAATCTTAAAATAGAGATAGTTAATTACTCTTGTAATTGTTAAAAACATTTAAAATTCTATGCGTCGTTGATAAAACGATTAATGAACACGAAGAGTTAATACGATTATATTCGAATAGTAAAAATCGTGATAAAGCTAATAATTCGATAAAGATTATTTTATTAATTGGAAATTGATTTTCCGAAAGCTTAGCAAATGATGCGTATTTTCCCTACTTGATTTTCATTTTAACACATGGTTTCAGAAGCGGGGGCAGGTACGGTACTCAGATTCTTATCACTCGGATTGGTCCCCTCCGAATCGTGTATCGGTGGTCGCGCAAGCGTTTGCTCGATTTCACGGGTGACGCTAATCATTGGCGGTGGTCGGCGGGGATCCTCCTCGATCGCGGAGGCGCGGCGCAGCTGGCGGTGTTCGTTGGATACATTAAAGAAATATGTGATATCACCGGTATCATCCGCATGTATGTTCGGTGGTCCGTCGTCATTATTATTGTCGCCATGGTAACGTCGATGAATCAGATCCTCCATTTGTTGATAATCACATTCTTCCGCGTCACGCAAATGCTCGTTCTCAATCTGCCATGCCATCTCAGGATTTAACATATCCGATATGTTGCGCATCCACGACGGTGGCGGTGAGACCGGTGGTGTTCTCGGCGGGCTCAATAGACCACAATAACTCTCCAGCTCATCCGTGATGCTAGTATATTCAGCGCGCATTGCCAATAAAATCGATCTTTGCATATTACCAGCCGAAGCGACAGACGACGGAATCACAGCCACGCGAGGCTCCGCCCAGGTTACGCCTCTCTGAGTATTTGGCGGTGGAAGCAGCATAAAATCATCGGATTCCGAACGAGTTCTACTGTTCACCCTGAATGGCCCACGCTCCGCAGAATCTTGTCTAAGTACATGCTCCGTTGAATCTTGTTTGATGTCAGAGGACGGATTCTCGCTGCTAGCCTCTTTACTAGCCTCTCTGCTGGTCTCCCTGCTGACTTCTCTACTAGTAGCTTCCATGCTAATTTCTCTACTTACTTCTCTGCTAGTATCTCGGCTCGTTTCTTTCTCGGACGGTATTTCTTTCTTGCCGGTTGTTTCGCCGGTTGTTCCTTCGGACATGTCTTTGCTGCCTTCCGTTTCCAAGCTTTTAGTTATCTTGACATCGTCTTGATCGACGTGAGCGTGTATGCTTACGGAAGAGTCGTGTCTACTAAGATTTTCACGGGAAATCATAGCTTCGGCCTTGAGAACGTCATCTATTGGATGGTTAACATTTAGGAAAGCAGCGTCGGTAAGAGATCGTAGAAATTTTTTGCGTCGTGCGACTGTCGACAGCTGCGTGTGAGAATCCGCTTCGGACAGAGCCTCCGATCGCTCTGATACCCGACGCTGTCGAATATTGTCAAACGGTCCTAATCCGGCTAGTTCTTCATTGGGCATGTACGTCGCCATGAAACGATGAATCACCCCGAGATGTGCTAAAGTTTGTTGACTCAATTCCTCCAATTTGCGGATACGAAATTCGACAGCCTGTAAATATAAAAATGGTGTTTGTAAATAAAAAGAAAAGTACAAAAATCGAGAAACGTAAGTTTCACTAAAAAAATTACAATTTTCAATTAATATGAGAAAAATTGATCATAAAGATAATTCTCATGTTGTATTCCAAAAAATTCACTGTCGGCGTTAAAAATCTGTAGTTTATGTTACGTGCAGTACACATTTTCGGCGCTGGCAGTGAATTTTAGGAACATAGGTTTTGATAATATAGATGGCTTGTTAGTATCTTAGAATTGTATCTCTTTGCGTAAATGCACGATTATTTTTGTATATAAAGATATTAGAGTAAAAATATTAAAATATGATTATAAAAATGAATATTTTGCAAGTTTCTGATATATATCAAATGTAATTACGAGTATATTATCTACATTTTCTCTATTATTAAAACTGAATATTACTTCTATTTTAATATTAATTTTTATATATTAATAAAACATTTATCGTTTCTTTTAATAAATATTATAAATTCTTAAAAGGGATTTGGATTTTCTTTTATAGTATTCCATATAAGTGTATAATAAAAGATATTTAAACTAAAGATATTAAAAGGATAAAACAATAACTATTGCCATCTTAAATATCTTTAAAGTCACGAGAGTAAGAGACAAAATTATCTAACAAAAATTACATGATACAGAAGCAGTCATCTTATGATGGTAACGCTTCTTTATTAGATATAGTAGCTTCAAACTTCAAAGATCTAAAGGTCATCTTCTTTTTTTAAAAAAATTGTATGATTTTAACGAATGACGTAATATTCTCCTAATTATTCTATATATAAATATTAGAGTTCTAGTTATCAAAAAATTAATAGTTTATAAGATATGTTATAAGTATACGTTTTATTCCGGTACATATTGACATGAACATAAAATATCTTGTAAACTATTCATTTTTCGAAAATAATAAAGTGACCGCAAAATCGGTGGTTTTCTCACCCGTTTTTGATCTCCCGATTTTGAAACTGAATTATGTTTACTTTGGGATTTTACTTCAGGTACGTGGATGACATTGCTCTCTCAACACAGGATCAAAATGTCGATGCACTATTGAATACGTTTAATGGATACCATCCAAGACTAAAGTTCACCATGGAGTTAGAAAGCGACAGTTTAAATTTCCTTGATTTGACCTTAACCAAGAACGATAATAAGTTGATACATGATTGGTATCACAAACCCTTTTTTCGGCACAATATTTACATTATTTCTCGTGCCATTCTATGTGCCATAAATTAGGCATAATCATGAGCTTAATTAATAGGATTCTTTTATATTGATAGAGAATTACTGTCGTATCCCATTTTCCACGAGAAGAATTTCGAGCTAATTATAAACATTTTACTAAACAATGTATCCCTTAAATTTAATTTTTAATAACGTGCGGATACGTGCTTATCCGGTGATCTTTAGAAATTATCTCTTAAAGTATTGCGAAATTGCAAAATGATATAGGACTCAGTTCACTCCGATCTATCTATTCACGAGAGGTGATCCCGTAAGTCCGGGACACCCTGTATATTACTTTTTCCTATGATTTCTAGAAAGTGACCTAGACGCTCCAAGATGAAAGCAAATGAAATGTATTTTGAAAATATTTCATTTAGTTTTATATAAAAATTAATTCAGAAACCTAATATTCTT